AGGGTTGTTACAATCAGAAATTTGAAACTGAGTTTTGTAGAAATTCATGGTATCGTTTTATTTCTTCGGAAAAATATTGAATGATGAAGAGTTAAATTTGAATTGATCCATGTCCATCAATGGAAATAGAACAAAAGAGAAGGCAAATCTCTTTTTTTTAATGTAAAATATTAGTGATCGAACTATAAACTATTAAGGAGAATATTAAATATTGAGTGAAGATTGAAACTATTGCAGTGCTCAAAAATATACCAAGAGAAATTTAATTGTCCTTATATCTCGCAGACTCTCTTGACTGTTGCGCCTGCTGTATTATTGCCAATGAATTCTTTTTCTTGACAAACTTCAATTGGTTTTCTATGTTCTAAAGTAGATTGAACTTCACATTCAGAAATGCTCAGACGAAAGTTTTTTTATTGGTACTTCTCGTATTTTTTTCAAATAAAAGTAAAAGTACAAGTATTCATCAAGTGTACTTTGCACTTGTACTTCGAGACGAATACTTTTATACTTTCACTTGGCATATAAATCGGTTTCGTTTTGCTTATTTGAAGTATCTTTTCCTTTTTTCAAAATTTTCACAGTTATTTAATGTTGTAGTGAAAAATCAGTTGCAAATCTATGCATCATCTTATAAAGTTTAAAGCTGAGTCTTATAAGATGTTTTTTTATTCTAATGAATCCCTGAGTTTTATTTATTTCCGTGCTTCAATTTATAGTCATATCTAAAAGCAACACTTTCATTGACTAGCTCTGAGATGTGGATGTGGTGGAGAATATAGTGGCATCTATACTCCGCAAAGGCAAGAAAAATATTTTTACTTGCTGTACTTGCACTTACTTTACTACTGTTCTTATTTACAGTATTAAGAAATTTCTTTACTTTTCATTACTGCTTTGTTTACTCTTTGTTAATATGTGCTATGTTCTCTGGTTCCTAATTTTGGCTAATATTATATTCTTGTTGTTTACAGATAGAGGTTTCGCTACGTTGTATTTCTCTGATTTGAAACCATACTGTTTGAGAATCTCCGTATTTTATTTTTATTATAGCTGATTGGATTGTTGAAGTTCACTAGACGAGAAATATGGTGTGAAGAGACTTAGTTTACTTCAAACTTGGAACTTTATCTTCGAATCTAACAAACAAAAAATACAACAAAAGAAAGCATTCAAATTTATATTTGAATAGTTCCATAGTACTATGTTCATGAGAGACAAGATTATCGTCAAATTAGCTGACAAGACGTTTGTCACATCTTTGATTAAAATACATTAAAATCATGCTTGGAACGAATGATTGCTTCATACTGTAGTAAATCAAGTACCTGTCAGACAGCCTTGACGAGTCACTATACCACTACTCGGCAATATGGCGAACCCCGTTCAAACATGATCACAACGACGACTGCTTACAGATTTCAATGGACTTTAGAGATTACAATCTGAAACGGGACCTAGTTTTATACAATGTGCAAATATTTGCTTTGAGCATGCTCTCTAATATTATTTCAGATTTCATCACATAAAAGAACCTGTTGACAATAGTGAGCACTTGTTTTATTGCCTCATTCTGTTAACACGTACACAAATGTGATATAAGAGAAGAGAATGCTAGAAAGGAGAAATGTAAAGAAAAGAAGAAAGCAGTGACAATGCAGAAATCATAATTCGTTTAAGTTAAATAAACGTTTTTTTTGAGCATTGAAAGCATCAATGATGTTGTCACGGCAAGAATTTTCGAATTCAAAAGTTTGAAATCACATAGAAAAGAATCTGATGCTCCTTTAATGATCAAATCGTGTAAAAACTTGAATAATTACAATATGTATACTTCGTTCATACCATAGATGAATTATTTGTTGAGAAGAGGTATAAAGACAAGAAAACACACGAAAAGAAAAAATGGTAGCACGAAAATAGAAAATAGAACATCGCGACGATGAAAAATAATTGTGTAAAAAATAATTTCATCATCGTATATTATCATATATTTTGATAACAGTGATTTGAATGCAATTTGTTTCGTCCTCACTAGAAAGTCCTTCAGACTATCACGTGTACTGTAGAGCATTTTATTATTCTTCATCACCTGTATTATAGGCCATTTCATCACCCATCACTGTGTTCACTGTACAGCATTGCATCATCGGCTTCATCATGTTCATATAAAAACAAAGTATATACATCACTCTTCCAATGAAATCGATTCGTCAATTTTATAATAGCCCACTGTCTTGGTCGCATATTTAAACATTCTATTTTATCTGCACAACGTAAGTTACTTTTTCTTTCTCACAATCGAATATAACATGAACGAAAAAAATGGCGATATCTTTTATTTTGTGAATTGTTTTCTTTCAAAATGATTTGTTGAAGTCATTTAAATAGTGATTTTTGTAGCTCTTAGAACGGGCTATAAAGTTGAGATGTAAACGGCCTCATAAATTTAGTTATATTAGTTTTATTTTTCATACTCACCGCTTTACTTCAGAGGAAAAAAAATTAAGTTAATTTTAATGTTTTATTAATTTTCCGTAGGTAAATTAGTATTTTAAAAGTTTCCTATATATCACTGGATGCAAAAAATCATGGACAATATTTTGATAATAATTATTTTTGAAAATCACTCGTTTACAATTTACAAGTACATCAATAGAAAGATTATTAAAAAGTGAACATAAAAATGGTATAAAACTTTCATTAAACGAATCACTTTGACGAAACTGTTATACCATTTTTTTTTTGTTGTTCAGCCTTTAATGCTCTTTCCGTTGATGTACTAATACAATTGAAAATGAAAACAAAATCTTTCCTTTTTTTCAATAATTAATATTAATCTAGCGTAGTCCATATATAATTATGAAAATGAGTGATTTTCAAAAAATACTCATTATCAAAACAGAACTCATGAAATTCTGCATCGAATAACATTAAATGTGCGTTAAAGCATTCATATCTTGGTTGTTTATAGTCAATTCTGCAAATTTTCATATATGTCAAATTTGAAAGTTGAATTTCAATTAATGAATAATAAATTCTTAATGGTGTAATTTTAATTTTCATAAGTATTTTGTTTTGTTTTTCGGAAAGTTTCGATCTTATACGAGCATTTTCAACCTTTGCCAAGACAAATTACATAGATGTTTCAAACGGAAAAGGAACAAACATTTTTTAAAAAGAACTGACGAAATAATTCTAATGTTTATATACAGCATTAACATAAATATCATGATCGTTGAACATGATAAGCTGAAAAGCAATACTCAAGTTTTGTGTACTACTTTCATCCTATATACACACATTAGAATTATTTCATCATTTCTCTTTAAAAAATATTTGTTTCTTATCTGTTTGAAACATCTATGTAATTTGTGTTGGTAAAGGTTGAAAATGATCGTATAAGATCGAAACTTTCCGAAAAACAAAATAAAACACTTATGAACATTTAAATTACACTACTAAGAATTTATTATTCATTAATTGAAACCGACACAAATCTCCAAATTACACATACTTTCTCATACATTGAAAGTTGAATTCGATTCAAATTTCAAGTTTTATCTTTCTCGATATAGGTGCGACGAAACACTAGGCACATAGAGAGAGATGTAGTTCTTTTTGATAGTTAACGAATAGTCTTTCAATTGTTTTCAACTTTTACTTTCCTATCTTAATTGTATATCATTATTCTTTGGTTTTGATGGCATTTTGTTGATTTTTACACAGCAATTTGATATAAGATGAGAAATCAAATGTGTGAGAATGCATCAAATTTAAAACAATGGTGATATTATCTTTTGTTTACCAAAATATACGTGCACATAGATATTCTGGTTTTTCTTCTAGTCCTGCATGTTAGAGTCATGCGCGAGTTCAACTGTTGGAATCCGAACCCAACTTGACCCGAAAATCTTGTTAGTTTTTATCTTTGGTCGGCTATTTTCTTCGAATATGGTTATTCAATTAAAACTGAAATTCTTATAAAGGTACGGAAGATATATCTGAATGTTATTTTGACGGTCTAATCAGTTGTAAAAAAATATGAGCCTTTATCATTCCTGCACACAGCATCAGCAAAAACTGGAAGATTTTGCATGGATTATTCAATCAGCATAGTATCATGTGATTGCAAGACATCAGTTGTTATGGCTCTCACTCTAGTAAGAAATGATGATAACATATTATGGTCCTCTTAGAAAAGTTCACCAAAATATGAACCACTGTCACGTGATTTACAAGTGGTAGTTCGGATCGGATAATGACCGTTCTGTCGTATTGATAGAGATGCTTCGAGACAAAAAGAAAATAATGAAACTACAAAAGTTAAAGTGAATGACACTTATTCGATTACTGCTGCATCTTATATTATTGCCGAAATATTTTGAAAACTTAATTTGATCAAATGAACAACGGTTCTACGATCTTTTTAGTATTATTTGAAGCAATATAATGCAGGATTCAACATTAAATTTGCAGTATATAAGTAGAATAACGTGTCTCCATGCCTATAAATTAGTTCTTATTATACAGAAAAACAATAAGTTCTGTAATCTTCATAGAATTCTTTGAACTATCCTAGCTTATGTAAAGATCATATGAATCGAAAATTTCATGTAAGATTGATTTTACGTTAGTCGTGAAAAAATACACAGTGAAAGGTAGATTGCGTAAAGAAAAAAGATGCGAAAAAACCCGACAATTTTTGAAGTATAAACCCAAGTATGACCTCGGGTCGGGTTGTAGGACTGTACTGTTGATGCTACTGATGAACTACAAAAAAACATATCTACGTATATTCCCTCTGATCAAATAAGAGAACAGGCTTAAATGGAGAAAAATTGTTGGCGCGTTTTGCTCCATGTGTATGCACAGTCTAATGGACTATGATCCATAGTACGAGACGCCTTTGTTCTTAAGCACAACTATTATTTTGTTACATAAGAACGTGTTGCTGAGATTACTTTTTCAGAAGATAATAATTGAAAACAAAGACAAAAATGGGCAAGAGCGATAAGAAAAAAGTTTCAGTTGGAGAATCGGTCGTGCCTGATGGTGGATGGGGATGGGTCATTGTCTTTTCATCATTCTTGATTCATTTTATTATGGACGGGTAAGCGATATTTTTCTCATGTCTTCTCCAACTTCATATTACAAAAATAGAATAACATATTCAATGGGTCAAGTGTTCCTAGAACCCATGCGAACTAAACTTTCACTCGATCGAGCTTCGGTTTCAATTGTTTTCAGTATTTTGCCAGCTATCACTCTTGGCGCAGGTAAGCTATTAATACTCTGAATTCAACAGTGTTTTTTAACAATAATTTTTTCACTTCCCAGGACCAATCGCAACTGTTCTGACTAATATGTACGGATGCCGTGCAGTGGCTATAGCAGGTACTTGCATTGCCTCGTTCGGTTTTTTTCTTAGTCGACTATGGGCCAACATTTGGTTTTACTATATGACGATTGGCGTCATTGGAGGTATGCTCTCTTATTAGTAGAGTCGATATCGGTACTTGATTAAGTCGACGACAAAATTTTAAGCGGATTATTTTTTTAAAATTTTCTTTCACTCTAAAGGGAACGAATCTAATTCAAATGGTGATATAGACAGTATGAGAGACCGGCTACATGATGTATTGTAGAAGGGAACTTGATCTGTCTATATAGATCTTTCATAATTAAAACAACTCTTTTCCAAGAAAAAGTAGATTAAAGTACTTTCTATATAGTATTTCGCATTTATTAACCAAGAAATTTTCGATCCATCAGTTTCGGAAAGAAAAGTTTTCCAAACATGGATCTTTACCTCGAAAACCTGATTTTGGTAAGAATATTTGAAGCACATGGAAAAGTCAAATATATCAAATTCCATCATATTTCGCTCATATCGGAGAATTCTTAGACACTAGAACACGTTTATGTTCATTATTTGATTTTCTATCCATTTTATATCTTTACTTCATCGAATTAATTTAAAGAAAGAGGCTTCTTCTTAACAACTCAAATACATGTATTTATCCTTTAACTGTGTGCGAAATACTCTTATTTATGAAAGACATTGTAAAACAGCGACCTTACAGAAACGAAAGACTTCGGCTTTAAAGGTCGTAGACATGACGATAGGCGCGGTTAGAAGTGATTTCGTCTTAAAAACAAATTTTTTCTCTATTGGGCTAACAGTTAAGAAAAGTATTGGCATTACTTTTCTCGTCGAAATAGTTAAAAGATCGTATACTGTAATACGATAAGATTTGAAACATTGTACTTTTCCATGTATTTCCTCTATGCTCATTAAAATCAGACTTTGAGAACAAATTTTACTTGTAGGAACCGACAAAACTAGAAAATCTCCTAGTGAGGAAATGTGAAATACTAAAAAATACTTTAATCTATTTTGGCTTGGAAAAAAAGTTACTACAATTATGAAAAATCGATATTTTGGTAGATAGAGCCTTCTGTTATAGTACATCATGTAGCGGGTTTCTCATAATATCTATATTGTCATTTGAATCGGATTCTTGTCTTTTAATGTGAAATAAAATTTGACTGCATATATTAATCGTTTCCTTCGCTTCATTCATATGTCAATATTTTCAGGTCTTGGTTTTGCACTCATGTATTTGCCAGCCATTGTTTCTGTGGGATTGTATTTCGAACAAAAACGTACATTTGCCATGGGCATCGCTGTATGTGGTTCAGGCGTGGGTACACTTGTACTTAACTATTTGATCGATGGAATCGTCAATATGCGCTCATGGCTCAACTATGAGGGTGTATTACTACTCGAATCCGGTATCATCTTGCTAAGCCTTATATGCGGCTTCTTAATGGTAATAATTTTCGTTTTCTTTGTAATTCTCAAACGTGCAAGACGGTAAAAATCATAGATATAGCGATACTGATTTGAAATTCGAATGGAATAAGACATCGCTTGATAGATCAAAAAGTTTTTTAAATGAAAAGAAATATTCGTCTCATCTTTCGAGAGGATAATAATAATTTATTTGTTTAGCTTCCTCTACCACAAGAACCTAGCGAACAACGACGACTAGAACGAAAACTACGTAAAGAAGCCAAACAAAAGCAAAACGAGCAACCTTTAAGTTCGCAGAATGGATCTGCCACATCGCAAAATAATATTGCCGAAGGTAAAATCGTTCATAGAGCTCGTATTTTTTACTTTCATTAATATTGTTTCATCCATTGTTCTCTTTGAGAATAATCAAACTAATGTTTTCAGTTGTCACCATTGAAAAATCACCAAGAAAATCATTCTTTAATCAAATAATCGAACAAATCGATCTGAATCTACTCAAAAATCCTGCATTTACACTATTTGCTGTATCGAATTTCTTAAAAAATCTTGGCTTCAATGTAATATACAATTTTTCCGATGATCTTGCAAATGATTTAAATGTGACAAAAAATCAACGAATATATATTGTTATGTCAGTTGGTTTGTCCAGTATTTTCGGTCGCTTGATCTTTGGTTATATAGGTGATCGAAAATCGGTGAGGAAGTTTTAAGATAATAAAAGTTATATTTGACAAAATCATTTTCATTTCGTAGATGAATCGACTTTTCTTATTCATTATAACATCGATTATTTCCGGTGTTGCTACCATGGTGGCTCCATTAAGTGGCTCTTCTATTTTTCTTCATATAGGCTATGCATCCCTTTTTGGCTTCTTTTCGGGTGGTAGTGTTACTTTAACAGCGATCGTTCTTGTCGATATAGTCGGCATTAGTAAGTTGTCGGATGCATTCGGTGTTCTTTTACTTTTTATTGGCAGTGCAGCTGCTCTTGGAACACCTATTGTTGGTAAGTATTTATTATTATTTTTCGGTCAATTTTTTTACATTTCGTTAAGCATGCATTATTTCTAGGAGGACTGCGAGATGCATTTGCTCATTTTCCTCAACCTTTTCTATGGCCTTATCTTATTGTTGGCAGTTGTACTGTTGTTAGTGGTATCCTATTATTTGCCATTCCTTTTTTGCAACGAAAAAAGTCGAGTGATGATCATATGGAGATAGGCTGTGATGCTTTCTATTCGGCAGAAGATATACCGTCTCAAGAACAACTGCAAAAATTTTAACTATTTGCATGCAATTTTCTCGTGCGCTGTCATGAATTTGGCCTCTGACTATTGCTCAACAGAAAAAAAAAACTGTATTCAAACAGACATTTATATTGATCGTTCAACTCAATTTTTTCTAAGTGTATATAGAGTGAAATTTCAACTTGAGATACTTTTCTTCTTTTTTTACGTTACAAAAACAGACAACTACATAAGTGTGTCAGCATTTGAAGAATGCCTACCAACCAGCATTCAAAATTTGTTGTACACATTTATGGTTTGTGAATTGCTAGTTATTAGTGAAATAAATATTGAATAGTTATATAGAATTCTGTTTAATTATTGAAGGGCACACGTCTTGGTGGTTCAGGCACACCCAAAGCTCTTTTGGTACTCCAAAATCTGCTTAGAATTGAAAAAAATTAGTAAAACTTCAAGAAAATTCTATTTTTGACAAAACGTATGAAACATGGATATTGGATATGTTAATGTCACTATAGAGTTTTGTTGAAATTGAGGCTATTTTCAAACATCTAATAAAAATTTGACGATTCATAAAAAGATTTTGTTTCAAAGGTCATACCGCGTGGGCTACAAGTCAGGTAACACAGTTTTTTTTCGATTTCTTTCTTATAGATCGTTTGTTGAGTCTCATATTTATATCAGATATACAAGATGATATAAGTGACAGATGCAGCATATAAGCAACATCTGAATGTTGTAATTTGTCCAAAAGTGTATAAATACACGATAATCAAAAATTTAAAAAAAACACGTCCGAGCTTTAGAAAAATTTTATCAAAGCAATAGAGCAACACAATGACATGTACAAAAATGCCTTTATGAAATATTTATAGTACGAAGCTTTTCACAAATATTGCTCAGTGTGTTCACCTTCTTAGTCTTTGCAAAGTTGTAATCTTTCAGACACTGATTGACACGCTTATTTACATAATTTCACTGGTAAGACTTACATCTCGGTTGTTATAGCATCTTTGAGTGCTTGAAGATTTTGATGTATTCTTGCATACACACGGCCTTTAATCACACTCCATAAAAAAAAACCGTCGGTGTGAGATGTGGGGATCGTGCTGGACAGTCAATGAATTCATGTCGACCAATCCATCGATTAGAAAATGTTTTGTCTAGGAATTGTCGAACAGGTTTAGCATAATGAGCGGAAGCGCCATCGTGCATGTAGAATATTTCTTTTAAATTCATTCAATATGCAATACCAGGAACAATTTCTTCATTTAGCATTTCAAGATAGTTGTCTGCAGGGATGGTATCACGAAAGAAGAACGGTCCGATTAGACATCAAGACCAAATTTCAGCCCATACAGTAATACCTGGAGCATTCTTTTCTTGAGTAATGACGATATGAGGATTTTCGACAGAGTAGTAAACGCAATGCTGTCAATTAATATGATCATTTAACTTGAAAATGGCTTCATCAATCCAAACGATTCGATTAGGCAAGGAAGAGTCGTCAGCTGACAGGTTCAAAAAGATGTCGGCAAATTCACAACGTCTGTCAAAATCATCATCATCATTCAAAGCATGCAATAATTGAGGACGATATGGTTTCAATCCCAGTTTCTTCGTCATTCGTCGGAGACTGGTTCTAGACAAATTCGTTTTCAAAGAAGCTCTTCTTGTTGATGTGTCAGCGCATTCTTCAAAAGCGGTACGAACACGTTCTCTGTTGTCGCCGGTACTAACAGATCTAGGTCTTTTAGATATGACTGCATCTTGGACACTTCTGGTTTCATCGAATTTTCGTACGAGATCCAAAAATGTACTTTCGTGATGGAGAAATTCGGTCATAACGGTACTGAAATTGACGAGCAACCTCAGCCGCATTCTGGTGTATGGTATACCACTTTACAATTTCAATTCTTTCTGATCATGACAAGCGAAAATTTCCATTCATGATTGAAAAAAAAAAATCTGAAAAACATACAGTTAGTACGTAGAGAACAAGAAATGAATCAGCCGCTAAAAGAGATGCCCGTTTGTATTGTTATCTAACAAATGCCACCACTAGCACATAAATAAGCACTACCAGGGGAGACAGCAATATACGTTATGAGAGTAAAAACTATAACCTCAAACATATTCCCACTTTTTAGGGTTATCCTGTATTTATACACTTTTGGACAAATTACTGCATTCAGATGTTGTTATATGCTGCATCTGTCACTTATATCATCTAGTATATCTGCTATAAATATGAGGCCTAACAGACAACCTATAAGAAAGGAATTTAAAAAAACTGTGTTACCTGACTTATGATCCATCCGGCATGTTTACAAGTGTGTCTGAAGGCACACATTATGAACGAATTTTTCATTTATTTCCTTCATTATATGTATGTCATCTGCTTTTTCATCGATACATACATTCTACTCTAGACAGTCAATTCGTTTTACCACTTGGTAGAATAATTATGCCTATTCAAATCAAACTTTTAAATTTACAATCACTTGCACTTCGTTGTTTACCAAGATTTCTACCATATTTATTTGAATATCTTCGACAACTGAAACAACTCAGTTATTCACAGACAGCTCCTTGGCTAATGTAAAGCGTATGATATAAAAGAATATGTCTAATCAATTTATCAGAAGACATTGTAGTTAAAATTTAATTATTTATGAAATAAGGGAGGGTGTGGGGGTGTGGGTCTTTGTTTTCAATTGAAACTCATAACCCTACCCACACTCACGTCCCACACCCACACCCCACTTTTTCCATAATTTTATCAGGAATATGATTTATTGAATACTAATCAAAAGACAAATAGTTTAGCGGATAACGAATGTTACGAAAAGGTCTTCAGTCATTCAACATAGTTTAGGCGTACTTATAAAATAAGAGATTGTTGAATATAAAATTTACTTCAAAAAATCTCTATTAATTCTGCATCGTGAAGAGAAGAACATTTTGAATAAAGATTTATCAAATACTGTATATGACAAGAACACCATTGTGCGATCTAGTATAGATCGATGAAAGAAAGTTGTGCGTGTTTGATTAAGAAGTTAAATAATATAAGTGATGAATATGTTATTGTTGCAAAGCCGTCTTGTTCGAAATCTACGCCGTGTAAAAACAAAATGGTTGAATTCCACCATTCATGTGAAATCAATTAATACATTATTTGAACATAATGTTTTATTTTTATTGATAAACTTCACATTATTGGTAAAGATGACTGGTTCTCATGTTCTTCACCATTTAGTATCGATACGTTCCAATCAATGTTTATCTATATAAAACTACTGTGCATGGGTATAAATAGACAGTTGTTTTTGTTCTGATAACAAACATGTTTTTTTTTAATTTAAACGAAATCGGTGGCCATATAATAGATGTGTCTTCAACAGTCAATTATTTCGCTGTCGTGAGATTATTATCAATGAGGATTATTGAATCAACGATGAGTTTCTTTCATTGTCATCACCTGTCAATACTTGACATCAAGTATACTTTAGAACTACATTACAGACAGGAGTCTCAATATAAAAGTGATTCGAACAAGAAAACTGTAATTCATCTCTTTAGCAATGCCCATTTGTGTAATATGCTCATGTCAAATGGTTTACGTAACTCAATCTTTTTACTGCTTTCGATCAATCAAATTTGATAAAAATTGTCTATTTAATTGTCGAACGATTATCTAGTTTGCAAGTCATAAAATTAGAGAGGCTTGCCGGTGATCTCATCGAAATGTTATATATACTTATCAACGATCTCGAGAAGTCAGATTGACTTATGTAGACTTTAAGATTAAACATTGCGTGATTTGCAGAATTCAAATACTCGTTTTTTTTTAATTGAAGTTTCTGAAATGAGAATACACTTATCGTGTGGTTCTAATAAAATGAAACTGCAAATATTTCTTTGCTTTGTTGTACTTAAACTTCTTTTTGTAAAACAATCGTAGGAATTTGTAAATAGACATAAAACGAAACATTTTTTCGATTTTGTTTTTGATATGAAGCTATATATAAAAACCTTTTTTCGTTATTTATATATTTTATACTTTAACGGATAATCGAATGACTTTATTTTTTACTACTCTTTTATGTAGTTCTTGTTCAAGTTTCTGAGTCTAAAATGGTTATCATCAAACCATAACATGCCATTAAAATGATTAGTTTTGAATAATAACTAGGAGAAATAAAAGAATTTCCAACTAAAAATAATTAATTTGAATGATATTTAAAATGTACAGAGACTTGTTGATGTTACCAACAAGATAATCTTGTAGCATTTAATATCTGAAAAATAATTCTTTATTATTGATTACCTAAATAAATCGATAATCTTCTTTGCGGTTTCAACTCATCGAACCCAATGGCTATTTGAAAAACATGATGTTTTAATATTAATTTCAACAATAAATGATCGGTGATCAAAATCAGCAGTTCGATTAGAAAAAAATAATAAACTGAACATGAATAAAAAACATCTACAATAAAACATTCTTACTTACGAAATTCAGAAAGCTTTTTATCTCTTTTTTCTTACTAAATCTTCTTCAGTCGCAATACTGATTGAAATTAAACTGTTTGCCTAGGAATTATCTTATTGCATAGATTTAGTTTCAATTAAATATGCATTTTCTTTATCCTATCTAGTACCATCTGAGATAAATCTTTCACATATACACTATCTTTTAGTATTTCTAAATAATTATTTTTAACTTTCATCACCTCAAAATCCTATACTTAACGATCAATACTAATTTCTACTCATGTAGCTAATTGATCAATATATTGAGGGTGTGGGTGTGGATGTGGGGTATCGGTGTTGGTCTTCTTTTTGCCCACACCCACACTCATCTTTCATGATGAAACGGATATCATAATGCATGTATTTCATTTTCATTGATTAAAATGAAAGTTTTCACTAATGTCATTCCATGATTTTGATTTCTAACGAAAGTCATAATGATGAAAATGATTAAAAGCTAAAGTCATGAATGAAGTTGGTGAAAAGTTTCATTTTAC